AGTCATGAAGATACATGTAAGTATAATGTCATGAATGTTATCCACATTTCATACAAGTCCACGTGCCTGTGATATATCAGTATGACAGTATCACGCTCTCTCTATCCTTTATGGCTTTACACCATTACGTATCGCGGAATTTTTTTTCTGGATAGAGGGGGAGGGTGCATGGATTCTGCAGAGGTAAATTTTACATAGAAATCATAACTTTGTTGTTGACGAGCAAAAAAAAAATCCAATCCAAAAATAAAATGTACACTCCTTTCGAAGGTGATAAACTCATTCCGTAGAGGTGGGTCGGACTGCTTTCATTTGAAATCTTCAGCTTCAAAAGTATTAATTATTCCTCTTCAAATTTTAAACATTTGATGACTAACACTTTACTTTTGCGGAAGGGGGGGGGGCAGCCGCGCATGGAAATTTCACATCGTTTATAAAGTTTTTTTTTCAAGTTGATTAGATGAAACTGTTATTCTTTTAAAGTATAATCGGGAATTATAAATACATCCTAACATTCAGAAGCAACCCTTTTAAAAAGAGTACCTGTAAAGTGCGAAAGGAAATAGAAACGAAACGAAACGAACTGCAACGAAACGAAATCTGCCGAAACGAAATGAAACATACCGAAACGAAACGAAATCAAGACGAAACGATACGAAATCAAAACGAAACCTGCCGAAACGAAACAAACAAAACTTTCAGAATATTTATATGGTCTATCTTTACTTCATATAAATTTATATACTAGTAGTTCAAGCACCACAGGCAATTGTTTTGCTATAAGCTCATACATAGGCGTCAGAAGGAAATTGAAAGAGGAGGGGGGGCTTCACCAACAGAAATGGTATCTTCGCAAAAAAAGGGGGCGGGGGGACTAACCCCCCACCCCCACCCAACCCCGCTTCTGACGCCTATGTCATATTTTGTTAATATCTTACTGAATAATTTACCTACTTAAAAATGACATCGTTCGCTTCGAGAGTATTTTTTCTTGTCAGTTAAATCGTTTTAGTCGAGGAAGAAATGAGTGGTTTGCAATAAAGAGGCTCGACCAGAGACGTCTAAAACGATTTCACTGACAAGAAAAAATACTCTCGAAGGGAACGATGTCATTTTTAAGTAGGTAAAGTTTTCAGTAAGATATTAACAAAATATGACATAGGCGTCGAAAGCGGGGTGGGTGGGGGGTTGGTTAGTCCCCCCCCCACTTTTTTTTTACAAAGATACCTTTTTTGTTGGTTAAACCCCCTCCTTTCATTTTCCTTCCGACGCCTGTGTATGAGCTTGAAGCGAAACAATTGCCTGTGGTGCTTGAACTACTAGTATATAAATTTATATGAAGTAAAGATAGACCATATTAACATTCTGAAAGTTTAGTTTGTTTCGTTTCGGCAGGTTTCGTTTTGATTTCGTATCGTTTCGTCTTGATTTCGTTTCGTTTCGGTAGATTTCGTTTCGTTTCGGCAGATTTCGTTTCGTTTCAGTTCGTTTCGTTTCGTTTCTATTTCGCACTTTACAGGTACCCTTCATATGACTTGCAGAAAATAAAATTTATTAGAAATATTATATTACTTAAAATACGGTACATTATTTGAAGCGAATTTGAGACTATACTTTTAGAATCAGTGGTAAGTGTTTTAGCTCACTTGAGCCGAAGGCTCATGTGAGCTTTTCTGATCACATTTTGTCCGTCGTCTGTCTGTCTAGCTGTCCGTCTAGCTGTCCGTCCGTAAACTTTTCACATTTTCGACTTCTCAAGAAACAATGGGCCAATTTTAACCAAACTTGGTACAAAGCATCCTTAGGTGAAGGGGAGTTTAAGTTGTTCAAGTCCCCTTACAAGGGGAGATAATGAAGAAAAGACAAAAATAGGGTGGGGTCATTAAAAAATCTTCTTCTCAAGAAGCACTGGGCCAGGAAAACTGAAACTTATGTGGAAGCATCCTTGGGTAGTGTAGATATTAAATTGTCAAAATCATGACCCCCGGGAGTAGGGCAGGGCCACAATAGGGAATCCAAGTTTTACATAGAAATATATAGAACAAATCTTTAAAAATCTTCTTCTCAAGAAGCACTGGGCCAAAAAAGCTGAAACTTATGTGGAAGCATCCTTGGGTATTGTAGATAGTGAATTGTTAAAATCATGACCCCCGGGGGGAGGGCGAGGCCACAATAAGGAATACAAGCTTTACATAGAAATATATAGAACAAATCTTTAAAAATCTTCTTCGCAAGAACCACTGGGCCAGGAAAGCTGAAACTTATGTGAAAGCATCCTGGGGTAGTGTAGATTCTAAAGTATTAAAATCATGAATGGGGAGGGTGTAGGGGGGCATGATAGGTATAGCTTGAGAGGGGAAATCTGCTAAAGAACTTCATCACCCAAGTTACTCAGGTGAGCGATGTGGCCCATGGGCCTCTTGTTCATGTTTTTTTTTTTAAACTTTTAATTACCATACTATCTATAGATATTGTTCTGAATATAGTTACTTCCTCTAGTCAAACACGTATTACGGAAATCAGGCCTGTTTCAGCGATAATATGTTTATCGGGATAAAAGAAGGAAGAATGGTTTGTTTGAGATCACTAAAATTAGTGCAATTTTAAAAAAAAGTTCTTCTTTCCTCCTGGACATCAAGCAGTCAACCTGTTTGCATTCTTGTAATCAGCATTGAGTCCTCCAAAATTGTGAAATTCATGGCCCTGGGGTCAGGGGTTCTAGTGCTAGGGCGGGGCTAAATAGATTATATAATGAAAATGCATTATTCCTTTGAAAATCTTCGTCTCTGCTCCTAGGCATTAAATAAACTAAATAAGTACATAGTTATGTTGAATAAGGCTGCCTCTTCCAAAATTGTGAAATTCATGGCCCTGAGGTCAGGTGTTTTTAGGTGCTAGGGCGGGGCTATAAAGATTATATAGTGAAAATGCATAAATTCTTTGAAATTCTTCTTTTCTGTTTATGGGCATTAAATGAACTAACCAAGTGCATAATTATGTTGAATAAGGCTGTCTTTTCCAAAATTATGAATCTAATGGCCCCAGGGTCATAGTTTCTAGTGCTAGGGTGGGGTTATAATAGATTATATAGTGAAAATACATCAGTTCTTTGAAATTTTTCTTCTCTGTTCATGGTCATTTAATACTAGTAACCTAACCCAGTGCATAGCTATGTTGAATTAGCCTGCTTTTTTCAAAATTGTGAATTTCATGGCCCGAGGGTCAGGGGTTCTAGTGCTAGGCGGGGCTATGTAGATTATATAGTAAAAAATGAATTATTTCTTTGAAAATCTTCTTCTCTGCTCCTGAGTATTCAATAAACTAACCAAGTACATAGTTTTGTTAGATAAGACTGCCTCTTCCAAAATTGTAAATTTCACGGCTCCTGGGGGTTCTTGTGTTAGGGTGGGGCTCTATTGATTATATAGTGAAAATGCATAAATTCTTTTAAAAATCTTCTTTTCTGCCCCTGGGTATTAAACCATTGAATTATGTACATAGATATGAGGAGGAAGGATGCCTCATTGAGATTTTTGAATTTCAGGGCCCCTGGGTCAGGGCTTCTTGTGTTAGGGCGGGGCTCTAATATTTATGTATTGAAAATGCATGAATCCTTTCAAAATCTTTTACTTGGTTCCTGGGTATTATGCCAATGATCTTAGTATGTATTTATGACGAAGAAAGCTGCTTCTTCCAAAAATGGTTAATTTCCTGGCCCCAGGGACAGAGGTACTTTAGGGTAGGGTACATAGTCTGAAAATAATTTAATGCTTTGAAATCTGTACTTTGGTATTAATCAACAATATGATGAAATAAAATTTATGAAATTTCAAAATTTTGAAAGATGTGGCCCCAGGGTCAGGGTTCCTGTGGGATGGCGTGCACAACTGATAAAGTGGAAAATGCATTTTCTCTTTGTTACTCTGAGATATCCCTGGGTATTAAGTAACCAAAGTAAGCATGCTGAGTGTATAATTATGATAAGCAATGATGCCTCTTTCAAAATTGTGAATTTGATGGCCTCTGGTTTAAAACATGAATCAAATTCAATTGTTGGAAAGTTGTTGCATGATACTCAGGTGACCTATAAGGCCCATAGGCCTCTTTTTTATCAACTTCTTGTGTACTTATGTAGTTATATTATAAGTATATGGCTCAAATGTTAACATAAGTTACAAACAACAATGTTAAAAAACTTACTGGAAAAGATTCTGATTGATCAAGTGAAGATTTATGTAACAACGGAGGCCTCAAAATCGACGTTAATCAGTGTAAAATTATTATAATTACACATTATTGCATGCAAATTAGTCATGTTTAAGCGTGTAGTAGCCGTGAACATCTTATTTATTCAATATTTTTTATTTGTTTATATTAGATACTCAGATGCTATATATTTTCGACCGTCAATTTTCCAAAAAAAAAACACGCCTTAAGTGTTGATATACGTCTATATAGTACTGACATTATTCATTGATAAAGTCAGTTATGATAAGCGATGCATTACCCGCCAATTGGTACTGCTGGGACTGCTATCTGGGACCGCTTGGACTTCTGTGGTATTTTACAATTTACTATTAATATTTTACAAATATAACAGGACACAAATGTTTAGATATAGCTTTATTTGAAACGTACAAGTACTGTCAAAAATTAACAATTAATTTCTTACGTATCATAATGATTTTAAAATAATTGTATGTTTAAATGTCTTCGATCCATAAAATCGTGCTTATGTAATTCCTTAACATTGTCTTGGAAATTAAAGTAGTAAACGCAACAAAATGGCCAGATACCACAACGGTGAAGTTTGATACTCGCGCTCACAACAGATGTTTTTTCGTATATTCAAATATTTCTTATGCCAATATGCCAATGAATGATTTTTAACAGCTCTGTCAAATCGGCCTAACTTTATCTGGAGGACAGCACACATGATATATATAATGTACTTTCCGCCATCAGGGGATGTTGGGATGATGTTATTCAGGTGGTTCTCTTCACGTTTCACATTTTTTTTTGTCACCCTTCTTTGCAAAACATAGCGCTTTTAGAAAAAGAGAATAATGACGAGGAGGAATAGACAAAAAAAAGGTTTGTGTTTTGACCAGTAATATTTCGAGTGCAATTTCCTTGGGTATGATTGGCCTGTTTTGATAGACATGGAAATCATACGACACCGCTAAAGAGGCTCTCTCTATTCTAGTTAAAGCTCGGGAACAGAAATTCTTCTTGTAACCATCGTCTACTTTTGTTGGATATTTTGAACTCACATACAGCACCCCAGATCTGTGGTGAAGAATGTCTTCATACTGTTTTATATTCTTTAAAGCTTTTGAATAGTTTCCAAGGCAGTAATAAGCTGTTGCTAAGGACAGTCTTCCTCTGCTGATGTCAGCGCGACACGTGTAGTTTAGCAGACTAAGCGCTCGTCGGATTTGACGATATTTAAAACGTGCACACCTTGATTCACGCAAAGTTTCGTCTAAGGAAAAGAGTGCTATGCGTTGTAGACACTTTTGTTGAGACAATGTAATAATGTCAATATCTGAACGATCTCTTTCTTCGTTGATAAAATTTACAACTGTCTTAAAAAACATAGTTTTCAGACCTGTTATATCAGAAAAATTAATGACGTCGTTTTCTAAGCCAGTAAAGAAACTAACGTCGACTTCCTCCTCATGATCTGCACTGGATTCTTCGTTGAATTCAGGTAAGATAAAATTACTTTCTCTAGTGTTTAGATAATCATTTGACATCTGGGGAATCTGTATGTTTGTATTTTGAAGTGCATCTTCAAAAGGTTTCATTGATGGACACCTTAATAAGCATCTCCAGCCTTGCGCATAAAGTTCAAACAAGTGATTGATAAGGACACACTGTTCTTTCTCATCCAAACGTCCATAAAACATATTGTTTTCTCTCACAAAATAGTTCGGACAAAAACCTTTTGAAACCCAGGATATTAACCTCTTCAAACAAACTTCAATGCAGGAAACTAGCCGAAGAGGGTGCCAAAGGGCTGAAGGTGACTCTTCAATGCTCCAGAAGACAAGCGTCTTCATGAAATATGAACACAAAGTGTCGCAATTGTTTTCAAACGCTTCTTTTAAAAGAAGTTTAAAAGTTCCATAAACAAGAAGCTGGGTATCGTTCATTGTGTACACTAAATGTTTTTCCGCCATAGAAAAAGACAGTCGCCAAATAAATGGATCCACCGACCAGTTACCATATCTATCAATAGATTTGGAGCCAATAGGAACTACATGACACCCATTATTATATATTGTCTGAATACTATTTGTGTCTGGCCATCCGTGTGATCTTTTTCTGAAGTACCACTCCTCGGCATCGGATGGCCAATGAACACAATAAAGACAATGAACTTCGTCCAATTCGGTGCCATTTTCCAACAATTTCTTTAAACTAGGTCCATGTTGTTCTTCGTTTTCTCCAAGATGTAGTTTTACATATAAATCACTTGAAATGTATATTGCTCCATCCATAGCACAAGCTGACTGTCTAAGGTGTCGGTTTGCTCTGTCAGGCGTAAGTAAATTAAGCTTAACATATCCGGGTTGATGAGGCTTAGATTTCTCCATCCTAACTTGACAAGTTCTTGACGAAGAATATATCCCCTTTTCGGACACTTGAACATTCTTATCAATAAACATATGATCAATATCATTGGGCAACATTCGAAAACCTTCCGCAGAACTCTCTATTTTGATAACAGGCGAGTCCTTGCTCAGATAGATATTATTTTGGACATTTTCTATTTTTCTCCTTAATAAATTTTGATGAGAATTTAAGCCGATCACTTTCTTTAAACTGTCATTCAGTACAAAGCACAAATGGTCATTGTCCTGCCACATATCTTTTAAAGAAACCAAGGAACGCCAAAGTTGACATGGAAATGATGTTCATGGATATGCAGCAAGGGAATAAATAGATGATGTTATTTATATTGGTACTTCCCTGTTTTTTCCCATCTTGATAGATCCGTAGCGGGATGTAAATAAAACAAAGTCAATATACAATACATTTCTTTGAAACCTGCCATGGTCCGTCTTGAACATATTTAAAATTTTCGTAAATATTATTAAAAAATAAATTTTGGAACCGAAAAAAGATCTATACATTTTGGTTTGTTAGCCTCTTGAAAAATGTTTTGAATCAAAAAATATGTGCTACGGGTATATGAAAACACATTTCAGTATTTGAAGACATAGAAGGACATATGTCGTATTATTTGCAAATTAAAGTCTTCAAATGGCAGTTAACTTGCAATGTACCGTAATACTAAAGGTCTGTTTTAGATTCTTTTTGAGAGAAAAATTTTTATTTACTTTGAATGAAAATTAAGGGTTAAGATAACGAAGGGTGATCAATCTAAAAAAAATCTACAAACAATACAAAACGTGTAAAGGACAAAAACGCGGAACCCACCCCCACCGCCCGGAAATTTAAAAAGTGGGATGAGGTGGGTAGCAGTAGTAGGCATCACCTGTCGACCGGTCAAACCCATCGGCAGTCCTATACTACAATATGAATCTGGTAACGGGACGTTTCGTAGTCAAAATCAGGGTAAGAACAAAGGCCTAATAATAAGTACAAACAAATCAGCCAAAATACGAGCTAATGTTATGTTAAATTTTTTAACAAGTCAATTTTAACGATTATAGAATTTACACAATCCCTGTTACATCAACTTATCTGTCAGTAGCCTTCCTCGGCTTCAAAACTGAACACACTCGGAAGAAGCTCAACTTTTCTGTCAGTAGCATTCCTCGGCTTCAAAACTGAACACACTCGGAGGAAGCTCAACTTATCTGTCAGTAGCATTCCTCGGCTTCAAAACTGAACATATTCGGAGAAAGCTCAACTTATCTGTCAGTAGCCTGCCTTGGCTTCAAAACTGAACATACTTGGATGAAGCTCAACTTTTCTGTCAGTAGCCTGCCTTGGCTTCAAAACTGAACATATTCGGAGAAAGCTCAACTTTTCTGTCAGTAGCCTTCCTCGGCTTCAAAACTGAACACATTCGGAGGAAGCTCAACTTTTCTGTCAGTAGCATTCCTCGGCTTCAAAACTGAACACACTCGGAGGAAGCTCAACTTTTCTGTCAGTAGCCTGCCTCGGCTTTAAAACTGAACATACTCGGAGAAAGCTCAACTTTTCTCTCAGTAGCATTCCTCGGCTTCAAAACTGAACATACTCGGAGAAAGCTCAACTTTTCTGTCAGTAGCCTGCCTCGGCTTCAAAACTGAACACACTCGAAAGAAGCTCAACTTTTCTGTCAGTAGCCTGCCTCGGCTTCAAAACTGAACACACTCGGAGAAAGCTCAACTTATCTGTCAGTAGCCTGCCTCGGCTTCAAAACTGAACATATTCGGAGAAAGCTCAACTTATCTGTCAGTAGCCTGCCTTGGCTTCAAAACTGAACATACTTGGATGAAGCTCAACTTTTCTGTCAGTAGCCTGCCTCGGCTTCAAAACTGAACACACTCGGAGGAAGCTCAACTTTTCTGTCAGTAGCCTGCCTCGGCTTCAAAACTGAACATACTCGGAGAAAGCTCAACTTATCTGTCAGTAGCATTCCTCGGCTTCAAAACTGAACACACTCGGAGGAAGCTCAACTTTTCTGTCAGTAGCCTGCCTCGGCTTCAAAACTGAACACACTCGGAGGAAGCTCAACTTATCTGTCAGTAGCATTCCTGGGCTTCAAAACTGAACACACTCGGAGGAAGCTCAATTTTTCTGTCAGTAGCCTTCGCAGCTTTAAAACTGAACATACTCGGAGGAAGCTCTTGCATATCGAATAAGTTGAAAGATGCTAACACATTAAGCAGGTAATAGAAGAATATTATTACACAAATGAAGAAGGTTGAGAATAAAAAGGTTGAAACACTTTTCATATAATTAAGTTGTTATTCGGCTACATGGGGTTTGCAATATTTTCATCAATACTTTTAAAATATTTAAGAATGATAATAAGGGCAAGAACCTAGAAATACTGTCAAGACCTTGGTAACATTCATTAAAATGTGCTAGAATTAAAAAAATGTTTACTCTTTTCAAGACAAATATTTGGTTGTAGACAAGATACAAACATCTTGATACAAAAAGATCTCAACATATCTCCTTTTTTCCTAAAAATTCTGCTCACAAATTCTGAAATTCTGAAATTACTGGAATCTTTATTTGAATCAAGATATAAAATATATTACAATTGAGAATAAAGAGTAGTACAAACTTTCACAATATGCTGATAAAACCTTTCTTATTTTGGACGGTTCACTCTGTGATCCATGCACGGTATTAACCGAGAATTGGATTATTTTGTTAATATGTATGGCAGAGACTAAAATGATATGAATTAGAAGTAAAAACTGAAACATTACCTAAACTAACCCATTCAATTCTTACTTCACCAAATCAGAAAATTTGATGATGTTTAAGACAAAAATGTTTTATTTCTATGTAAAACCAATATTCATCAGGAAGCAAAAAATCATAAATAAATGAACGTTGTATTAAAGGGGATCATAAAAGGAATTTTTATTGAAAAATGTTTGTAGTTTAAAATATTTAGGTATGAGGATAACGAAAGACATTGGCAATTTTTAATGCTCTGTATGTAATTCACACCGTTCCTTTAACTTCCTATTTCCCTATTTGATTCAGAGGAAATTTTCAGATCCCTCTTTTTTATTATTTGTAATATCTTATGATATTTGTAATAGAAGAATTGTTTTCTTTTGTTTACCTCCTCTTTTCTTCTCAAAACAACTTTCACAGTACATAAAAGTATAACTCTTGTGTGTATATAATTAAGACGCAGTTTAATTGAGTAAATATGATGTTAAATTGTATCAAAAGATTAAATTTTTCATGTGTAAATGTTCCTGTAATATATTGATATAAAAATAAAAATTGTTAGTGGGCCCTTTTCGTCTAAAACATCCAAATATGAAAAAGATATGACATACTGTGGTGTCTTCAATATTAACTTCAATGGAATGGATATATATCGAATCGACATATGAATGAGAGTAACAATTAAAAAAGAATAAATTTCAACGTCCATTTTTATTGAAGAAGCAGTGATCTGTTTAAATGGCTATTTCTTAGTTCATCTTTAGTAATGGCAATAAAAACTGGGGGAAAAAACAGTAGCTTTAATTGTCATACGTGTATACAAAATTTAGGATATTTAAGCGTCATTTAGAATTTATATCTCTCAATTGCTTCGATTCGCAAGAGCATGCTCTACGTATGTGAAATTTCTAAAACGAAGTAAATTATTGACAAACAAGTTGATGAAACAAAAATATCAGCAGTCTCTTTTATAGTCATTATAAGTAAGTTAAATGGTCGAGACAATGACCTAGTCCGAAAATACAATTTATCATTTAGTCAAAAGTTGACTGATGTTTTTCATGATAATTGTTTGTCCATTATTGCACACTATACTTTATTAGTAATATTATTTAAACACTTAATTGAGGACGGATTTATGATTATTTTCCGACCATGACAAGGAGCACACGGCAGTGTAACCGCTCGGCAGGGGGTGCTCACTTCTCCATATATTTCATATTTCATATTTCAGCCCCCCATATGTACGCGTAATTATTCTACAAGCAAGAAAATTAATATGTTAACATACAAATTACCAATCTTATAAAATAACTTTTATAAACTTTCTTACCCAAGTATATGGCATCATACATCATGCATAGAAAATGCAACATACTTCTATTGGCATAAAACATTATTTATATTTATATCAACATGCAATATAATTACGTTGGCAAGCAAGATATGTATTTCAATATGCAACATAATTATGTCAACATAAAATATATTGAATTATTTATGTCCAAGTGCAAAATGATAATGTTACAATATGTAAATAAACTTATTTACGTCAACATGCGACTTATTTATGTCAGCATACAATTTATGTTTTAACATGCAAGATAATAAGCTGCATCTCAACATACATTTCTCATGTTAACGTAATTATTTTACGTGTCAACACAGTCTTCTTGCATGTTGACATGTAATTTATGTTTTAACGAGCAACATGTAATTTATATTTTAACATGCAAGATATTTGTCAAGATGCAAGACAATAAGCCGCACATCAACAAACATATCTCACATATTACCATTATTAAGTCGAATGTTAACATAATTATAAGTGATACATATAATAAATTCCCATGTATTTATAATTATTTTGCATGTCCGCATAAATAATTATGCATGTCCGATGAATATTTCGCATATTAACATAAATAAAAAACTCTTCTTTTCTCCACCTGAGTATTAAACCAATGAATTATGTAAATAGTTATGAGGAGGAAGGATTGAGATTTTTGAATTTCATGTCCCTGGGTTAGAATTCTTGTGTGTGAAAATGTATATAGTAAAAATGGCTTTGTTGTTTTGTTATTGGTAATTGCCAAGATCTTAGTATATATCATGAAAAAACAAAAATGGGCCCATGCTTTGAAGGCACTTTGGTATTATAGTGATAAAATAATAATTTCCGTGACAACTGTTTTTGGGATGGGGAAATATGGACCCGCCCTAACAGAAGAAAAATCTTGCCCTGAAATTCCTTTTATAAGCAATCTTTTTCAAAATTGTGAATTTCATGGCCTCTAGTTTAAATATGAATTTCAATTGTTGGAAAACAATTGAATAGGTGACCTATATGGCATGGGCCTCTTAATAATGCCAATATCATGACATATTGAGAACTTTCCAACAATTGAATTTTATTCATATTTAAACTAGAGGCCATGAAATTCACAATTTTGAAAGAGGCACCATTGCTTATCATAATTATACACTCAGCATG